CCCGGCGCCGCGAGGCCCCGCCCCTGCCGTGACGTCAGCGCGGGGTTACTCGCGGTCATTCCCTCCGGCCGCAGAGTTCAGTTTAGCGCCGGAACTCCTGCGCCGGCGCGCCGCGCCCTCCCGCCCATGCCCTCGCAGGGTCCAATTCTTGCCTGCTGAGGTGATCTCATGGGTGTTCACCTATTGGGTACCAGTTGCCCTGGTCGGCACGGGTGGTTCAGACCAACGTGGGTTCCCCCTTTACCTGCAAGCATAATAACGAATACTGGGTTGCTCTGGTGAGCTCCAGAGCTGATTTTGGGTAGAGTGTGGGGTGAGCCCTCCCTTGGCAGACTTTTGATCTGAGAGTCTGTCCTGTGACCAAATGAGAAGGTTGTTTTCCAGGCTGAGAACTTGTCAGCCAGGACAAGAACTGGAACAGAGTAAGGCAGCCAGCTTGCTTAAATCTGTTCAAGCATCGCTCAGGTTCTAAAGAGAAGGGGTTTGGGGCTGGGGGGGGGGGGGAGCCGGTACCAGTTAGGAGGCTGTAGGTCACTTTGTAGACAGGCAAACTGAGGCCCCCAGCAAACTGTCCTCCATGGTTGCTGTGCAGTTTTAGCAACATTTGCTGATCTGCATGTAGTTGGTGGAGGAAGCGGCCTCAGACCACCCAAATCTGAGCAAGCTCGTCCATGGAGTCCGTGGCCACTCTGGATCTGGTAGAATAGACACGTCTGGGCCGCCCGCTCCTGCTGGACTGCTGTCTTACAGAAAGGTCCAGTAGATTGTCACTAGCTTAACTTTTCCCCCCTGAGGCCAGGGTATGGGAGAACCTGAGAAGAAAGACCCTGATTGTGGGGCTTTTCAAAGGAGCCTTCAGCCTTTCATCTGAGGCTGACTCACTGGGCCCAGTGAGAGCAGTGGAAGGCACCAAGACCAAACAGCGAGGTCCTCCTTGAAGCTCCCACTTGAATCTGGACACTGCTCACTCGTTTTGCCATCCTGCCCAGTCCCTGTCACTCCCAGAGCCTCAGTTTCCCCCTCTGCATATTTTCATTTTCTGGGGAGTTAGGGCTACTGAATCTGAGCAGGTGTATCCGAGCCACAGGTGTGACTTGGTCAGAGGTCTCAGTGCCAGGCATGGGCAGCATTGGGGTGGGGGCAGCTGGGGATCAGACTAAGCCCCAACTCTTGTCTGTGAGAAAGAGGACAACGGAGACCTGTTGCTGGGTGGGTAAAGGGGGTCCCCAGGAAAAGGGGAGGCTCCAGGCTCCCTGCCCCACTCAAAGGAAGGAGGCGCTGAGCAGGGAGGAGAAGCCAGAGAGGAAACTGAGAAAGGAAGGAGGAAAGAGCAGAGCCAGAGGAGGCCTGAGGAGGCACGTGGAGAGAGACATGTGATGAAACTGCGCCGGCTTCTTGGTCCTGGACTGGTTGAAACAGACGTGGGTGAGGACTCACGGGGACAGTAACAATGGCAGCGTTATCTTGATTTTGCTCTTTTCCTCCCAGACTCATCTGGCTGTCTCTGATCCCTCTCTATAGGGAGACAGGAGAGGTCTGCCTTGCCATCTAACTCCTGCTGCCAGGGCTGCTGGTAACCACAGAGTTCTGAGACTTAACCCTTGTGCCGCCAGGGAGGCCCTTGATCCACTTTTTAAAAATTTTCTTGGGGCCTCATTTACCTATCAGAACATTTAACCATTTTTCAGTGTACAGTTCAGTGAGTTTTAGTACATTTACTTATTTGTGTGACCGTCCCCAATCACAGAACATTTCATCACCCCAGTAAGATCCCTCATATGCTCATTCACCACTGCTCAGCCCTGGGCCACCCCTACTCTGTACTTTCGTTAGAGGAGGGTCTGCCGGCTCACAGCAGATCGTAACCACGATGTTGTTTTATGTCAACAGCTGGACGGTGACCAGGTTCCCTGGCTTGGCCACCCTGTCCCTATGGGCCGGCGTTGTTTTGTTCTCATGAACTCACCGCAGTGGACACCCGCGGCCAATCTTTGCTGGCTGGAGCTCATTTGGTTCCATTGTCCGAGGCTCTGGATGGATACTGCTGCTCAGAGGCCTGGCCTGCTTCCACCCTGCTCCTAGAGATGGGTGCGAGGGCAGGTCTCCAGGTGGCCTAGAGAGTTTGAGAGGTGGGCCGGGTGGACTGGATTTGGGAGCAGTGAAGAGTCTTGTGGGACTGGAGCAGGGTTGTCCCATGCTTGGGTGGTGTGTCAGGAGTTCCTTCTGGGACTGGGGTGGCTGGGGTGGCAGATCAAGGCACAGTTAGGGAACACTAACACAGTGCTTATGTCAGACACTGCAAAACATTGAGTCATCCCAACAACCCCAAGTGGGTGGACTTAACGATCATTTTACAGACAAGTGTCTTGAGGCACAGAGAGGTCAAGTGACTTAGCCGAGGCCATACAGCTAGAACATGGCAGAACCAGGATTCACCTCAGGCTGCTAGCCCCAGAGCCTATGCTCTTAGCTCCTAACTGTTCTGTGAGTAAGGGTGAGTGAGGGCAATAGAGCAGAGAACCCAGAAGGCAGTTTCATGTGGGGTTATGCCAGGGTTTGGGAGTGGGTCATAGCGCAATCAAGGGGCCATGTGACCACCGACCACCGTCCCTCCCAAGCCGAGAGTGACCTTTGAAGTGTGAGACTGAGGTTGGCACCAGGGGGCCAGTCAGACCTTGAGCCCCAACGGAACCTGCCACCTGTCTCTGCCAAACCTCTGTCATGTGAATGAGTTTGGGGTAGAGATGCTGCCACGAGTCCTTGATCCCGTGGGTGAAGGCGCTGCAGGGCTCCAGGGCACTCGCCCTCCTGTGGGCCGTCTCCCCCCGGCTCCCGTCTTGCTCAGAGCTTCAGGGCCCGAGCAGCTGTGGGCGGAGGCGAGAGCAGACTGTACTATCTGGGATTATCGGTAAGCCCGTAGAAGTCCGCACTTACCCACGGAGGATTACTTTATCAGGGAACATGCACAAGCTTCTGGTGCAGAGGAGACCAATAGCGACACACGGCTGTGGGGTTGGGAGGGATCTCGACATCCACCAGGGCGCTGGGCCTGACGGGGGGGGGGGGGGGGGGGGGGGGGGGGGGGGGGGGGGGGGGGGGGGGTTTGCCCTGGGGGACAGGTGACCCAAGGCCTTTGGCGGCTGCCCCCCTTCTCTCCTCTCCCTGGTGTCTCCCCGTTCCCTGTGCCTGCCATACCCTGGTGTCTGCCAAGCCCCCTGGATCTTGCTCCCTCTCACTCTCCCCTCCTCCTTTGCCTCCCGTCTGCCCCCACAGAGCTTTCTCCTGCCTTGGGGGCCTCCCGCAATGCCTAAATCAATGACAGGAGGCCTTTGCACTGACGTTTAGCCACGTGTTCTCTGGGCCCAGCCCTAGTGGACAGGACACATTGGGGGCCACTGTGCCCCCATGGCATCTCGTGCCCATCCCCTCACACCCCTTAGAACACTTAAGGTTACTTACTGCTGGGCCCTCCCTGGTGGCACAACGGGTAAGGACGCAGCACTGCAAGCTGGCCGCAGCCGCCTCAGTGCGAGTTGGATCCCCGCCCTGGAGGTGACCACATGGCGCGGGAGACCTCTCCTGACCCGCCCGCTGCTCCCCTCGGCGTGTACTTCATAGATCTGCCTGTTCTGTTCCCCACTCTTGTCACTGTGAATCCTCTCACCGCCCCCGCACCTCTGGCCTGTACCCCAGTTCTGTAAGCATAAATAAATCTTTAAAAAAAAAAAAAGACTACTTACTGCCCAGCTCGCAGCTGAGGCCACAGACCTCACCAGTTCCCAAACCATCCATGACTCCCCAGGCCCCCCAAGATAAAGTTCCCTTGTCTCAGCATTCAGGACCTGTAGGTTTGCCAGACCCGCCCCTCCCATGCATGGCTTTCCGTCCACCAACATCCACTCCTCAGACATGTCCTCTATGCCAGATGCTGCCTGGAGGTACCCCGAGCAGTCCCCGGGGTAAAGCCTGCCAGAGGCCACTCCTATTAGGTTTCCCTTCCTGTTGCTGTTTCTGCCCCTTGGCATCTGGCCTGCCCACCAGGGCATCAGAAAGGCCTCCCATTGTGGCCAGGAAATGCTGTTTTTCCTGAGGAAAGTGCTCTGTCCTCTGAACTGCAGGGCCTGCCGGGAGGGCAGGTGGTGGAGGCTGCAAGATGTGCTCCCCTGAGCCAGGGCCCTGCTCCCAGGGTCTGAGTGCACAGGTGTGGGAGAGGGAGAGGTGTGAGCTGGGAGGGGGTCCAGGGTGGCAGGTGGGCAATGGCTGACGGTTATCTCCTGCCCTATGGTCACCTTGCTGAACACAAACATCCGGAGTGACCTGGTCAGCCCAAGGCGGGGGTCACGACCCTGGGAACAGCCAGGTGGAAGTGACTGACTGCTCAGAGGAAGTGTCTCCTGCCAGCCACAGGGCCCTTTGACCTCTGGACCTAACAGGACAGCATGTGTGTAAGACACACGTGGTCCACAGAGCTGGTATGTCAGGGGTGGGAGAGCCTACAAGTGGACTTGAGGACCCTTGGGAGGTGGTCTTTGAGGCTGGTTACAGATGTGAGCTTCCTCTGCTGGGTTTGGGGCTTAGTGGGAGTTGGGGCAGGGCAGGGGGTCCATTCTGCCTGGGTTTGGTGACGTGGAGAGGCCTACCCTAACAAGAGCCAAGTGACTCCACCAGCTATCTCCCACCAAGCCT